AAGTCTAATAAACTCCCTAGTTAAAAGGCAGAAATTGCCAGACTGGATAAAAACAAGTCCTTACTATATAATGATTATAAGAGATAAGTATGACACCTTACTCTATTGATCCTTCTTTGTTACCAAAAGTTAAACAACCAGACATTACATAACTATTGACAGAGGTACACAGCAGTACCTATGAAATATTTTTGCCAAGAAAACTGACCATGAATATAATTAAGCTTCAAGGGCTAACTATCAATTTAAAGGAACAAGGCAATATATTCAAAATCATCATGGAGACTCAATCAATCGGAGGCAGAATGAGGAAAATTCTCCAAGACAAGTGACCTGGACTTTTCTACAAGTCAATCGGTGGGGAGAAGGAATGAGAACCATCAAACGTGAAAAGAACCTTAAGACATGTCAACAAAATGTAATGTGTAAGTCTGGTTTAGATCTGGTTTAAACTAATTAAAAAAAATGTTTTTGGAGATAACTAAACATAGACTGGGACTGCTAATTTTGATAGATGAAATAAAGGGATTAGCCAGCCTTGGTAGTACACACCTATAATTCCACAACTATGGAAGGCTGAGGGAGGACTGCAAATTCAAGCCCAGCTTGGTCAAATTAGTAAGACCCTGTCTCAGATAAAATAAACAAATAAATAGGGGCCTGGGATGTAGCTCAGTGGAAAGGTCCTGGTTTCAATGCCCAGCACCATAAAAAGGAAAGAAAAGAAATTAAGAAAAGAGTGACATTATTGTTTAAACAAAAGTTCCTATTAAGAGGGGGTGGGGAGTTAGATCAGTGGCACTGCACCTGCTTCACAAGCACAAGGTCCTGAGTTCAATCCCCAGTACCAAAAAGTTCCTATTAGAGATAAATAAAATAATATATCTGACATTTGCTTTAAAATACTCCAGTTGCCAGTCATTGTGGTATGTGTCTGTAGTTCCAGCTACCCAAAGAAGAGGCTGAAGCAGGATGATGTAGGGAAAAATGAAGCTCAAAATGGCTATACTGTAGTTCAGGCTGTGTGTGTGTGAGAGAGAGAGAGATTTCTAGAGGACAGAAGTCCTAAATCAGTAGAATTCCAGCATAGGCACATCTCGCAATCTCCATATAAATAGCTTATACAACCAAGGTTGATATGCCACATGGCTACTATTGTGTATTTTTACTATAAATATGGACTGCCATGAGGGCTGGCTGGGAGAGACTGCTGCAAGTGTGTGCAGCTAAACAGATAAAGATGGACTACATTAAGCGGCTGAGCAGATAAGGTGAGCTGAGCTGAGCAGCTAAATAAAGTTGTCTACTCTGTCTATGGCTCTGTGTCTCAAGTGAACCTCTGAAGTCTGAACTGGTGTCCAGTAGTGCATCAGGATTCACTGCAGCCTAGACCAAGGAAAAAACTTCATTAAGAGGAGACGCCTCAGAAAAGAGTTAAAAGAAGAGACATATACTGTTTGTAAATCAAAAAATCTAAAAAGAATGCATGCTGAGGAGATAACTGAGCTCACAAACACAGCTTGGGGGCTGAAAATACTGTACTTAAGCTGCTTCCATCAAAAAGGCCCAAGGGCCTGGGGATATAGCTCAGCAGTACAGCACCCGCCTGGCAAGCACAAGACCCTGAGTTCAACTGGCAAAGCCATGAACATAGAGAAGAGAGAGAGCAGGGCAGGGACAGGAGCAGAGCCAACTCCTGGGGCTTATGCCCAAGTGTGAAGCCCACTCCAGAGCCACAACAGGAATCTAAATCCAAGTCCAAGTCAGAACCAGAGCCAGGTCATGACCAGGCCAGGACCACTGCAAGAAAAGCAGCCCATTGGGCCAGAAACTACATGCTGATAGACTGGCTTATGACAGGCTCCAGAGAGCTGTCAGAGAGCATGAGTACATGGAACGGATGGAAATCATGAGAGTTGGCCACGGGACAGTCACTGATGGATGACCAAAGCAAAGGCAGTTAGCCAGTGGGGCTTGGAAGGTGCTTAACCGAGGCCACTGGGATAGGTTGAACTGGCAGTCACCAGAAGCCAGGAGGCAGATCTAGAGTTGGGACTGAGCCCAAGGCCAGGAGGAGGAAGCTACAGTCATAAGAGATGCTGAGGGGCACAGAAAGGAGTAAGGAGTTCAGGCCATAAAGAAGCAGGAACCCAAGAAGACTGAAAACTGCCAAATGATGTGCTGGTAACACTTTGAAGGCAATTACATTCTGATCAGCAGTTTCCAAAGGGGAAGGCTCCCCAGGGAGGCAAATAGTCCATACTTGTGCCATAACCTTGCAAGACTACATGGCCCCTGTAGACGATGCCATGCAGGCATTTAATTTTGATTAGGGGCTGAGCTAAAGTGCCCAGGTAGGGGGAATACCAAAGTCCTGAGGCCTCATGTTGAACGTGTTATTCATTGGTCCCCCACAAATATGCAACATGTGCTCACATTAATGAACACTGGGACAGACTGTAGCCCAATTTATGGCAATCCTACAAAATTCCTGGGGAAGGCAGCCTACAAAGATGACTATGAGGGATGTATCATCAAAATGAAACCAACAACTGTGACTCTAGGTATAGGTCATCTGTCCCCTCAAGCCTACATCATGAATACCTCCCCAGTACCAGAGTACATCCTGGGGTGGACATCCTCTAGGGGTTGAGAATGCTCCCTGTAAAAAAGAAGACAATGGACATTCAGGCCACAGGGTTACTTGCACAGCACTACTGTTTGGCTAGCCCCACTGCTGTGAACCTGTGGTGCCAAATCACAGCAAGAATGTGGCGTGGTGAAGTAAAGTATTTACCTCTTGGCTCTCTTTTACTGAGAGAAAGAGAAAGGGACCAGGGTCCAGCAATCTTCAAAATCATACCCTCAATGACTAAAGACTTCCCACTAGGTGCCACCTCTTAAGTGTTCTACCACCTCCCAATGGTGCTACAAGCTAAAGACCAAGCCTTTAGAACACAGGCCCTTGTGGGACACTTATCCAAGCCACAGTACTCTTCTTTTAACTGCCACTAGACTGTAAGCTCTCCGAGGACAGTGATTATGACTGATTCCCCACTATAGGCCCAGGGCCCAGGGCAGGTGTTCAGTAAACAACTGATCAATGAATGAAGAGTTCAAACTAATGTAGGCTAAGTTGTCAATCTGGTAGGTTAAGGTCCCGACACTCTCCTCAGAGGAGTATTTTTTTTGGGGGAGGTGGGAGCTTGAGACATGGGCTTGTTATGTAGTTCAGACTGGCCTTGAATTCATTATGAAGCGTAGGATGGCCTTGAACTTGCAGCAAATCTCTTGCCTCAGCCTCCCAAGTGCTGGGATTATAGGCTTGCACCACTACACCCAAGCTTCTTCAGAGAAGTCTTGAAGAAAGCCAACAGCTAGCTCTAAGACCAGAGCTAGGGAGGACCTCAGGGCGTCACTGTGACAAAGTTAACTCAAGGGCTAGTTGGATGGGTTACCACTCATCAAAACACACTGTCCTCTATTTTCCTGACCTGTTGAACCAGGAATGACCATGTCTTGCATTAAGCAATGATGTGAGAAACATAAAAAGAAATGACATGTATCTCTCTGCCCACAAATTTTAAGTGCCATGCACTCATCTGCCCTCTCCACAGGCTCCAGATAGATAGACTGCCCCATCTGTTAAACCTCAGACTGAAGAAATACAAAGCAAAGCCTCATTGACTCACAATGGCCATACAGTATAAGCCATAAATAAATTTTTGTCACAAGTCACCGAGATTTGGAATTGTTTCGATGCCAATACAAGTTATTGCAGATAGAAATCTAAAGATGCCTATTCACCCCAAAGATTTTCATCTACTGATTACTCACTTAAACACAAATCTACAAACAGCTATGAAAAGATTTTCCAAGTATAATTAAAGCCCCAAGTTAGTTAAAATTCAGAATGTTTGCAGGTAGGCCTGACCTAAACACATGAGCCCTTCTAACAGCACCAAGTTTTCCCAGAATGAAAGCAGAAAAGGAGGTCAGAGACACCTGAAGCTAAGGCCTCAACATGCCATTGCTTGTTTAAGGGAAGAGAAGACCACATGAGAGGAAATTCAGGTACCCGTGAAGAGCTAAGACTACCCCCTAGAACAATGATGGCAAACCTCTTAGAGCTTTCAGTGATATCAAACAGCCCACAGAAGGCATGCATGCCAGAGGTTCACCACCACTCTCCTAGGCTAACAGCCAGCAAGGAAATGGGGACCTCAGACCTACAACCACAGGAAGTGGATTCTGCCAACATCATGAAGCAGATCCACAGCGAAATAGATTCTTCTCCATGGGCAGGGGGTTTGGCTCAGTGGTTCCACCGCCTGCCTTGCAAGTGCAGGGTCCTGAGTTTGATCCCCGGTACCAAAAAAAAACCCAGATTGTTCTCCAGTAAAAACTCAGCCTGGCTAGTCCCTTCATTTTGATGTTGGGAGACATTAAGCAGAGAGCCCAAGCAAGCCTGCCTAGACTTCTGACCTGCAGAATAAGTACTAATAAATGGGTGTGGTGTTTTATATTGTCCACGCTACTGTAACAAATACAATGTAAATTCACTTAACATTTTTTTAATTCCAGAAAAGGTTTTAATTATATTTTCATCAAAAGTCCCAAAATATATCAAAATTCTCTGATGCAGTGACTGACACTGTTTAATACATGTGAATGCCCCCACCTTGAATTTCCTTAGTATAAACATTAGCCACATGCCTAGGCACTTTACAAGTACATATGGTTTTAAACAGTCTCATTCACAGAGCTATGGTACAAATTTCTAGAGGATCAATGGTTTGCACTAAAAACACCTGGCATGAACCTAAATATACATTAGGTACGCCAAAAAATCTGCCAAATTGAAATAAATAGTTCTTACATCCGATTAACCTGGTTATCCCCAAATGTGCATGAGTTTAAAGTAGTACCTAAAAGCAACACAGTGAGGGGATTCAGGTTCTCCTGAATCATCTTAGGCACCAAGATAAAAGAAGCCTTACCTTTACATCTGGCACCTGGGCCCCAAGGCTGCTGAGTCCCACGATGGAGTAGAAGGCAGATTCCAAACTTGTGAAAGGACGGTCCAGGGAGGCTTTCAATCTCTCCACGTCATGTTTGGTGAGGTAGTGAGTGGGTGTCAGAGCCTGGGTGTTGACTATGATTGTCAGGGCCAACAGGAAAACAGTGCTTGAACCTTAGGGGAAAATGACTAGTAAATACACAACACAGAACTCACAAGTTCTACACAGAGTCCCAAAACTGTGCACCAACATCTGGAAACCAGATCATGTGGGAAAGAGTAATGGACTCGGGAGGTGTAACCTAAGAGGAGACCAGGGATTGGTGAGCCTGGTCTTCAATTCTCAGGATAGTTCTAGAAGTTCCAGGCAGCTCCAGCACAGGACTCATCACACCATTGCCGTTTAAGTGCGTTCGTAAATGCTATGCTCTTAGGACAGAATAGGACAGAGCCAATCCTAAGTCCTTACCACATCCTGTCCACTTCTCAACCTCAGTCTTCCTTACTCTTCCCAATATGTGATGCTGTCTGGCCTCTGTGCCTTCAAGGGGCAAAGTTTTTTCCTACGCCTGCTCTCTTTCATCCTTTTCTCTACTTCAACTTTGCTTCATTTTTACTTTGAGACTTCAGTGTCGTTAAGTATCTCTTCTTTAAGAAGCCCTCCTTTGAATTAGGTCCCCAACAAAGTAGGCCAGAACCTGGCCATTGGGGCCAAGCTGAAATCACAGCCCTGCATTTATTAACAAGGTGACTATTGCAGCCTCTCTGCTTCTTCACATGTTAAGTAGATAAAACAATTTCATTCACTGAGTTAATATAGAAAGGTTTTAGAATAGCTGGGCATGGTGGCACACACCTATAATCCCAGCATTCAGGAGGCTGAGGCAGGAGGATTGCCTTGAGTTTAAGGCCAGCCTGGGCTACACAGTGAATTCAAGTCCAGCCTGAATTACATAGCAAGACCCTGTCTCAAAACAAACAAAAAAAGGAAAACACTTCTGAGTGTACTACCTCAATGATAAAGTTAGTTGTCTGCAACCCATATAAAAACCAGAAACAAGCAATCATAATATTTTATGGTCCTAAATCCTTTGCCTTTAGTAACAAATTTAATTTCAGATAGAATCCCTTAAGAACAAAGATTATATCTATTTTACAAATAAGAAAACTGAGAATAAGAGTAGCTTATATACAGCCAATCTTAGATACAAACCCAGGTCTTACTCCAATGTTTTTCTGGAGAATATTCTAGAAAAAATGTCTACATTAGAGATAACTCAGAGAACCATTCTCCCATGAATATTCATTCCATTTAAGACTTTGTGTGTGTAAACTTAAATGTGAATGTTCTTTCGGGGAAAAAAAACCAAAACAAAACACAAAGGCGGCCAGGGATTGAGCTCAGTGGTGCTGCCACCTGCCTCACAAGTGCAAGGTCCTGGGTTCGATCCCGGTACCAAAACAAACAAAGAGTGGGTTGGGGTTGTTGCTCAGTGGTGGAGCACTTGCCTAGCATGCCTCAGGCCCTGGGTTTGATCACTAGTATCACAGAAACAAACAAACCCAGAGATCTATAATGTGAAATACTCATCAAAAATATATTGATTGCAACCAGTAATCCCAGCACTCTGGGTGGTTTTGGCAGCAGGAAAATCGAAAGTTGAAGCCCAGCCTGGGCAACTTACGGAGACCCTGTTTCAAAAAAATAAAAAAATCTGGAGATGTAGCTCAGTGGGAAGGCCCTTGGGTTCAATTCCCAGCACCACCAAATAAAAAAATAAGTGTATATGTGTATGTTATGATTAAAATATATAGTGAATGTTTAAATATTTAAAAATCTTTATAAAAGATACATTGCCATTAATCCCCTGTAAAATACTCCCCTTCACTTTGAACACATATCACATGGTTCTTGCCACTTTCTGAAGCACTTCTGGAGGTCCTCCTTCATGACTGTCTTTACAATGGAGGATCAAAAATACTGTTAATAGGGCTGGGGATTTAGGTCAGTGGTACCACTGCCTGCCTCAAAAGCACAAGGTCCCGAGTTCGATCCCCGATACCAAAAGCAGCAATAACAAAAAATACTGTTAATAAAAAGGGGGGTGGGGATTTAGCTCAGTGGCACCATGGCTGCCTGGCAAGCGCAAGATCCTGAGTTCAATCCCCATACCAAAAAAACCATTAATCCTGCTGTTGAGTGCCATCCCCTAGAAAGGCAGGCTTGTAAAAATATTAAGGTATGTCCTCATCCAGCTCTGGCACTGTACAACTTCGGGCTCTTCCCCAAAGTATAAATGACCATGAAAGGAAAACATTTTGAATTGATTTAAAACATTGAGGCAGCCATTGTCATGAAGAAGGACTTTCAGAACTGCGTCACAAAGTGACAAGAACAATGGGATAAGTGTCTTCAAAGCAAAGGGAAGTATTTTAAGGGAGATTCATGGCAATGAATCTTTTACTGTAATAAAATTTTTAAAATTAAAATTCACTGTATTTTTTCAATCATACTACATATATTTATACATGATACATATATTTATATATTTTATACTCACATACATACACATATGGAATGCTATGAGGAACCAAGCACTATTTGGGGAGCTAAAAATACAGCAGAAACACCCACTTCCATACAGCTTATATTCTACCAAGAAAAGAAACACATCACATGAAATAATTAAGAAACACGATTTATTTTTCTACTAGGTAGAAAAAAAAAAGCACAGAAGGGATATCTGGGAAGGCTGTTGATTAAATACAGTACAGTCTGTGAAGGTCCAAGGAAGAAATAGATATTAAGTGTGGACCTGAAAAGAAAAGAAACAAGTAATGCAGATATTTAGGAAGAAACTAACTCAAGAAAAGCAAGTGCAGTTCGATCCCCAGTACAAAAAAAAAAAAAAGCAAGTGCAAAGACTGAATCAGGAGCATACATGGAATTTTTTGAGATCACCAAAGACAGTATGGCCAGAGTGAGGAAAGCAAAGGGACAAGTGACAGGAGGCAGAGGCAAATCCAAAGGACCTTGTATGTCACTGAAGAAACCAGGTTTTACTACTAAGTGAGATGGGAGCTGCTGGAAAGCTCTGAGCAGAGGAGTGTTTTGACTTACATTTTAACAGGATCACTGGATTGAGAACAGACAATACTGAATTGAGAACAGACAATACTGAATTGAGAACAGACAATACTGAATTGAGAACAGACTATGCAGGAGCAAAAACAGAAGGATATAAATTAGACGACTACTGCCACAATCCAAGTAAACAGATGTAAGGGTGGTCTGAACAGGGCAACAGGAGAGGAGGTGGCAAGAAGTGGCCATAGTCTGGCTAGAATTCAAAGTTAAAGCCTGTAAGAAATGCTAACCAACTAAGTGAAAGAGGTGACAAAGTACTAATGCTGAATCCCCAATGCCTATTGTACATGCAGTACTCAATGTGCTGTAATCTAGTGAATGACTATGATTATTATTTTTTCAGCTACAAATTCTCCTAGCACAGACTCTGTGCCAAAATCCTCATCTTCTCAGCCTTGACAGGAATAACCTTTCTGGCTACAATTTGAGCACTTAACATGTGTGGGGTAGTCCCAAACTATTCCAAGAATCGCAAATTCATTAAGTCATTAACTCCTCACAACACCCAAGCGACTTCTGCGTTTCACATAGAAACTGAGGGTCAGAAGTAGTTACCTGCCCCTGTCTTGAGGCAAATAAGTGACTTGAAAACCAAACTGCAGCCAATTTGAATCCAAATTCCGAATTGAACCACTTCACCATCCTCCATTTCTCAACTAGTGAAGCAATAAGCCCAATCACTGTGTTACCTTGGCAAATTACTTCCCTTCTCTGGGATTCCAACTTCTCATTTGCTTAATGGTAATAACAAGAGCACAAATCCAAACTGTGATGAAGTATCCATTTAATAACCACCAATGTAATGCCTTGTTCTAAAGTATGCACGAAGATTACTTCATTTAATACAGAACTCCAGAAGCAGATAATGTGACTTATTTTACTAGTGAGAAACTGGGATGCAGAGAGGTTAAGTAACTGCAGCTGGGTCACATAATGAATTCGTGGCAGACGGTTATTAAGTTTGGGCCCAGAATCTGACTTCAGATTCTATGCTCTAAACTCCCAGAAACAACTGAACAATTTTCTTGCCTCCGATTCTGAAGAGGAAACTACGGCCCAAAGAAGGACGGAGGAATTAGCCAAAAGCTCACACCAAGTGATCGGTGGCTCGGGAAAGGCAGGTCTAGGTTAAGCGCGACCGCAGTCCCGCCGGCTGGGCCTCCGAGGGACCCGTAGCTCCGCGTCGCACCCGCCCCCCCATCACAACCTCCACAGGTAGTGGACACTCCCACCAGCTCGCGACCCTCAGTCAGACCATAGACCCCCCCCCCAAAAAAAGCCCGAACCCATGCCCCTGCCCCGCAGGGAAAGGAGATCCCGCCTGGCCAGCTCCCGAGTGGCTGGAACTAGCCTCCCAGTGGCCACAGCCCACTCTCCAAGCGGTCCCGGCCGCGGAGCCCCTTCGCTGAGCCATGCGCAACCCCTCACCCGGCGGCGCCATTCCTCCGAGCAGGCCCCACCCGAGTCCGGTCCGCAGGCTGACTTCCGCTCGGGAAGGTGGCTCTACGAGCGCCCCGGAGGGGACACCAGGGACTCGCGGCAGACTCCGCTTGTCAGGATAGGCTCTAGACACAGGTCAGTCTCCACAGTTATGCTGGGCCTACCCGCTCCCTGAAGCTGCGGCTAGGACTCTAGTCCTCGCACTCAAAAGGCCTCGAGGTTTCTGCGTCCAGGCCTGTTTCCCCCCCCGCACCCCGGCCCCCTTGGAACCGACCACCTCGCAACGGTCCGATTCTGGATGCTACCCGGATGCGATTGAACAAGGCCTGGGGATGGGCCGGCGACGGGGCCGTCTCTGATTGGCCCACTGCAGTGATTGGCCAACCGCTCTGTCATTTACTTGTCTGTCTGCAGCCCGGTCAATTTTAAAGGAACCGGAGGGGTCGGGTGGGAAGGGGAGAGTAGTATAGTCCGAAGGATTTTTTTTCCTCTAGAAAATTATGGCAGTTTCCTACAAAGATGAACAGTTCAATTGTTAATAATTGACCTCCTGGGTGAAGTTTTATCTGATTTGCAAAGCATATCAGTGATTCTTTACAGTAACTACGAGGACCCTATAATTTTACAGATTTAACAGATTCAAACGTGGAAGACACTTGTCTAAGCAAACAGTACTAATAGCTCCAATTATTGAGCATTTACAATACAGCCCGACAGTGTACTAAGCACTCTACATTATTTCATTTAGCCCTTATCACCATTATGTGACGTATGTACTGTTACTATATCCATGTAGTTGCTTGATTGTACTTGGGATTGAATCCAGGGCCTTTGCACAAAACTACCTCTCCAGTCTCCACCTTTGGGGGAGGGGACAAAATAAAATATGTTAGGGTGGGCGGAAGGATGACTTTTATGACTGCTACATCTCTTACGCTCAGGTTGGGCTGAAGTAGGAAGAGCAGAACCGCAAATAGGAGACAAGAGACAGGTCAAAAACCAGCTCAATAGGGCCGGGGATTTAGCTCAGTGGTTCTACCACCTGCCTCGCAAGCTTAAGGTCCTGAGTTAGATCCCCATTACCAAAACAACAGCAACAACAAAGACAAACCACAGAGAGCTACCTCTGCATATCCACTAGTCAATATAAAAAAGACCAAAAATATCAAATGTTGGCAAAGATGTGGAACAACTGGAACTCTTACGTACCGCTAGTGGGAATTTAAATTGTACAGCCACTGTGTGTGTGTGTGTGTGTGTGTGTGAGTGAGTGTGTGTGTGTTTTAAAATAGGGTCTCTCCCTGTAGTTCAGGCTTGCCTTGAACTCACTATGTAGCTCAGGCTGGCCTCAACTTTGCAACGATCCACCTGCCTCAGCCTCCCGAGTGCCAGGATTACACTGTGTGCTACCATGCCCAGAGAGCAGCTTCTTAAAAAGTCAATTTTAAGCTGGCCATGGTGGCACATTCCTGTCTTCCCAGCTACTCAGGGGACTGAAGCAGGAGGAACCCACATTCAAGGCAAGCCTGGGCTACTTAAACTCTGTTTCAAAATAAAATTTAATTTGTGTATGTATATATGTATACGTATGTACATCCATACTTATCACTTTTGCAAAAATATTGTTTAGTTCTAATAAAAGTGGGATCATAGCCACTGTTCAGCAACTTGCTTTTTTATGCATTAATCTATGTTAAACATTCAATAAATATAGTACTGAATCACTGTACCAATTTTATTAACACATGCTAAGCACTGTTCTAGGCTCTTGGGATACATTGAAAGCAGCCAAAAACCTTTGCCCTCCTCAAGCTTACATTTTAACAGGAGGAAATAGCTGGTAAACAGTGACCATCATAAGTGATTGAATTGGGCTGAGTGTGTAGCACCGTGGTAGAGTATGTGCTTAGCATGTACAAGGACCTGGGTTTGATCCCCAACACCAAGAAGTAAATAAATAACATATTAAAAAGTATTAGTGACTAGCGATCGGCTGAGAGTGGCGCGGGGCTGTGGCTCAGCAGGCTGAGCCTGGCCGGAGGCCTCGGGACTCGGCTGTGGTGCGCTGCCTGAGCGTCGGCGTGCTCCATGGGCAGCAGCCAGGGCCGCGATGACAGACTACAGCGAGGAGCAGCGAAACGAGCTGGAGGCTCTTGAGTCTATCTACCCCGACTCCTTCACAGCGTGATTACACATTGAGCCATCCCTCCTAACAACTAGTCTTCCAAATTATAAGTGGACTTACCTGATACTACATTCTTCAGTAGTTCTTCACTTGACAAGGTCCTGCTAAGAAACTCTGGAGTTGTGGCCAGTGCTTTTCAGTATTATCAGAAAATCCACCCAGCTTCACCATCACTGTGACATCTGAGGCTGGAGAAAATGATGAAACTGTCCAGACTACCCTCAAGTTTACATACAGTGAAAAATACCCAGATGAAGCTCCTCTTTATGAAATATTTTCCTAGGAAAACCAGAAGATAATGATGTCATAGACATTTTAAAATTATTAGCATTACAGGCTGAGGAAAATCTTAGTGTGGTCATGATCTTTACTCTAGTGACAGCAGTGCAAGAAAAATTAAATGAAATAGTAGATCAGATAAAAACGAGAAGAGAGGAAGAAAAGAAACTAAAAAAGAAGCAGAAGAAGCAGAGAAGCAATTATTCCACAGCACCCCTGTTACAATTGAGAATTTCTTATGTTGGAAAGCCAAGTTTGATGCAGAACTCTTGGAAATTAAAAAGAAATGGATAAAAGAAGAGCAAGCAGGAAAAAATAAATTAAGTGGCAAACAGCTGTTTGAAACCGATCATAATCTTGACACATCTGATACCCAGTTCTTGGAGGATGCTGGAAATAATGTGGAAGTAGAGGAGTCTTTGTTCCAGGAACTGGATGACTTGGAGCTGGAGGATGTTGAGGACGACCCAGACTACAACCCTGCTGGCCCTGGGAGTGACTCAGAGGACTGATGCACCATTTCCAGAGAGCGCCGCAGCCACAGCGTCTGTGGCTGTGTTGAGAGGCTTTTAATTTTCCTTTCTTTTTTTACTAAGAAAAAATAACTCTCAGAATATTCTTCTGATAACTTTTACCATTGAACTTAATAAACTGACCATAAAACTTCAGATAAAATGTTCACTTCCTCTTATTGGTGAACAGAAGTTTACATATTTAACATTATTTAATGCTGGAGGGAGATCCTACCTGTAACACCAAGACTTGAAGATGAGTTGTGGCCATGTGCATATGGGTATATGTATAAGAAACAGAAATAACTCGTGTTTTCTATCCTGGAGATAATAGTTACTTTTGGATTCCAAATGTTGTCTTTCATATAAAGTGTTAAAATACTGAGATAAATAGGAAATTAAACCTGGATTCTAGCCTTTTGACACAGTAAATTTAAGTTTTAACAGAATCACAAGCCCAGATTATACACAGGAATAAAATGGATGTCATCACTAAAAAAAAAAAAAAGTATTAGTGGCAGCCAGGCATTTAGCTCAGTGGTTCTGCTGCCTGCCTCACAAGTCCAAGGTCCTGATTTCAATCCCTGTGCCAAAAAAAAAAAAAAGAGAGAGAGAGATTTCATCATTTATGGGCCAGGCATTTAGCTCAGTGGTTCCACTGCGTGCCTCATAAGTGCAAGGTCCTGATTTCGATCCCAGTACCAAAACAACAAAAACTAGACAAAAAGTATTAGTGGCATGAAAAAAGAAAAAATAGGTAAGGGCAAGGAGACTTAAGGTAGGTTGGAAGGGGGTTGTTCTCCTCAATCTGTTTCTAACAGTTTAGTATTTCTCACTGATCCATTCATTCCTCATGAGGCTGAGAATTTGTAGGTGCTGGGGATACAATGAGGGCCATGTAGACTCCTTTAATGGAGTTTATATTCTCATAGGAGACAATCAAATGAACACAATGAATAAGATAATTATTGTTGATGACTGAATGCTATGACAAAAAAGGATAACTGGGGTGTGGTGAGAGAGGATACTCAATCTAGATTGTTGATCAGTAAATACATGCCTCTCTGAGAAGGGGACACTTAGGCTTTCAACTGAATAATGAGACAAAAGCAGTTCTGAAAAACTAACTGATGAAATCCCTTTTCTATTTCTAGGATTGGTGATCAAGAAGAAGTAGTGATCCCCTGTGCTTCTGATGATTTTGGAAGTGTAGATTTGGAGCTGAGCAATTTGAAGGATATTAAAAAAGACTCAAGTAGCATTGAACTTACAGGTTAAAAAGGGAAATTATTTTTTAAAAAAAGATTTTATGGGGGGTATAAATTCTTTTTTCTTTTGCAGTGCTGGGAATCAAACCCAATGCCTCACACATACTAGATAAGCACTCTACAACCCAGCCCTTTTTAAGTCAAGCCAAAGGGTATTGATTGAATACTCACTGGGTGGCCAGCTATTAACAATACATTTGATCTTTGACTTTGAGACTTCAGAATATGGTTGGCAAAATAAGATAAGATACATAATTCTAGGCATACAGAAAACTAGGCTCAGTCCTTAGACAAATGATCCCATAGAACCTGCTGCTAAATGTGCGTGCCAGAGGGATTCTGAGAAGGAAAAAGGGAGTGTGGCTGACATAGAATGGGAATACTTTATGCAGAAGGTGGGATCTGAATTGACCTTCAGAATAACTGTCTCTCATTTCTTCTACAAACATCCATTGAGTACCAGGTTAGGGCCCACAACCGTGCATATAACTGAATCAGTTCCTGGCCTCATGGACCTGACATGAGAGTGCAGAAAAGACACCAAAAAAGTAAACAGATGGTAACTTAAGTAATTATAAGTTGTGGTAAGCACGATGGAAGAGTTAACAAGAGGCTGAGACAAAAACTAAGGAAGATGGGAACCTACTCTAAACTATAGTTGCCAGTGAACACCTGTAGGAGATGTTACTTAATATAAGGAGGCTTCAAAGAGATAAGAAAGGTCAACTCGTGAGAGGTAGAGAAAAGAGCATTCTAGAAGGATGGAATACCATGTATATGAGTAAGGAAAGATTTGATTTGTTTGAGGAACTATATTCATTCATTCATGCATTCATTCAGCAAATATTTATTGAAGCACTGCTGTGCTCTCAGCCTGATCTAGCTGCAGAGGATAGCAGTGAACAAATACAAACAGTGTACTTACAGATAAATGGGTAATTGGAACTCAGTGTAACCTGTATGGTGGGGAGTGGGGACTTAAAGTGGATATAAAGGGTCTATTTGTGGCTGGGAGGACACTTAACCCACACAGGCAAATAAAGGATCCAGGACAGGCATCCTGGACCTGAGACCTGAAGTACAGTTAGGGGTTAGCATGGCAGAGAGCGTTAAGGGGAGATGGGAGAAGGAAGGAGAAAATGCAGATGGAAGGAATAGCCTATGTAAAGATCAGACATGAATTGAACATAGTTTCAATTACTGCAATTAATAGAGGACAAGAATGTGGTAGGGAGCTTGAAGAATATGCCTAAGAGACGTTCAGGAGGCCAAAAGAAGAATGGTTGAAAATTTCAGATGATAGATGGATTTAAGATGAAATAGTAAGACTATTAGCCAAATAAGAATGAGAGATTTTATGTTGGAAAATTGAGGCAGTAAGACTGTAAAGACTACAGATGCTATTGTAATCATTGTCACTCAGGGAGCAAAGGAATTATAGTTGCTGATAACTTCTTGGTGTTAAATCTATATCAGCCAATTGAAGTAAGTTCTCTTGTCATTCTCATATTGGGAATGAAGAAAGAGGCCAAGAGAAACTAATGTCACATAGGTCAAAATGCTAAAAAACCACAGAGGCAATTTCCAAGACTAGGCAGGCCAGCTCTGGGACCTGTACCCTTGATCAATGTACAGTATGTCCCAGTTCAAAAAGGAAATGCCAGGGCCAGGGGTTCAGCTCAGCGGCACCGTCATGCTTGCCTCACAAGTGCAAGGTCCTGAGTTCAATCCCCAGTACCAGAAAAAAAAAAAAAAAAAAAGGAAATGCCTCCAGCACTCAGTTCAGCCTGGTCCAGTGGGAAGAAACAGTTATCCACAAAGTGCTAGACTTTGTGAGTTTGAGTAATAACATTGGTGCTGGACTAGGTAGCTCAGTGGTAGAGTGCTGGCTTAGCATGTGCAGGGCCCTGAGTTCAATCCCTAGCACCAAACACAAAACAAAACAAGCAAACAACAACCTGCCACTAAATGTTTACCATGTGTCAGATACTAAGATCTGTACTTTGTACATATTGCCTTATTTAATCCTTACAATGGCTCCCTTTTACAGATGAAAAAACTAAGATTCTAGAAGGCAAACTAATTTGATAAAGGTCAAACAATGTAAGTAGAACCAAGATTCAAACTAGTCTCAAACTGAGATTTTAAAATCTGTGTTCTTTTTTTTTGGTACCGGGGATCGAACTCGGGACCTTGCGCTTGCAAGGCAGGAGCTGGAACCACTGAGCTAAATCCCCAGCCCAAAATCTGTGTTCTTTACTGCTCAACTATACCTTAGTCCCAAAAATCCTTGTAGCTTAGGAAAACCTTTGAGAACACCAAATCTGTAATTGAGAAAAATGAGATGGGGAAGAGAAAAGGGACTGTGTCAGGGCCACAGAGCAAGTAGCAAAGCTGTCTACTCTGATATCCAGTGGTTCTCACCACTAAACCATATCACTTTACCTGCTGCAGAGATGTCATCTGATGTCTTTCTTTCAGTATTAGACCTGGACATCCCTGATCTCCCTGAACTCCCTCAGGAGTCCTTCACAGATAGCCCCAGACATTTGAGCCCCCAGGGGTTCCTCCATGAAACCAGTGTTGAGAGACTAGTCCAGTCCATCCAGGAGGTGTTTAGTGGTAAGCTAAAGGTATGAAAGGTATGATCTTTATGAGTTATCCAACTTATTTTTCCATTAGCAAATGTTTTAAATATATTATTTCTTTTTCTTTTTTTTTTGGTACTGGAGATTGAACTCGGGACCTTGCACTTGGTTCTCAGTGCCGGAACCATTGAGCTAAATCCCCTGCCATTATTATACATAGATTTTTAATTATAAAACTTACCTATGCTTTTGCTTTTATATTGTCTATATAATTTATATTCATATATATTTCTAATTTGCATTTATAAATTATAAAATTCTATGAAAACAAAACCATAATGAAACTTAAAAGTTAATCTACCCAAGGCCAGGTATTTAGCTCAGTGGTTCTGGTGCCTGCCTCGAAGGCGCAAGGACTCGAGCTCAATCTCTGGTACCAAAAACCCTGAGATAATTACTCTTAATATTTTGGTAAGTATATATATATGTACTTTCAGACTGTTTTTCTGTCTGTACAAATGCATGTGATTTATAAAGGGAAAACCATTGTATATGATGGTAGGAAAAATATTTTTTGATTGATAATTAAAGGTTGTAATTATCCTACTTATGGGCTGTACAGCATCCCATTGTTTAGGTGAACATTCATTCATTTGTTCACATGTCCTGTGAGGGGATGTAACAGAAGAACTTATCTTGACCTGAGGGTAAGGAAAGGTGCTCTGAGGAAGTAAGCCTTGAGCTCAGATCTGAGCAATGTGTGGCAGAAACTGGAAGTTAGAAGTGAGGGAAGCAAAACTGGGATGTGATATGTTTAACAACCTTGAGGTCAAAAGAAACGTGGCATGTCTGAGGAACTCAAAAAAAACCTGGTATGTTTAAGTCATGGTGACAAAAAGGAACAGTGGTGCAAGGTGAGGCTGAAGAGATGGTTGCTAGGTTTTGAAAACCAACATAAGAATTTTGATCTTTAGCTTAAGAACAACTAAATGAATAATGAGTACATAAGGAAATGAATGTCCTAATTTAACTCTTATTATGCCATAGAATCTAAAGTTCTTTCTTTTTTACTTTTTGTTTAAATTTTGAGACAGGGTCTTTCTAAGTTGCCCAGGCTGGTCTTGAACTGGTGATCCTCCTACCTTAGAGCTGGAATTACATAAATTTTAAAAAAAAAAAAAATTTTTTTTGTTAATTCACTGTATTTTTTGATCATTTCTTGTGAGACAGGAGAATAGGATGTGGTAGACTGGCTGGGGAAGCGGGCATGACTTGTTAATTGCAAAGTCTCAGGATACATGTGTAGATCAGTTTCCAAAGCCCTGGATGGGGAACCAGAGAATGCTGTCTTCAATTCTTCTCATGCGAACTTGAGCAGGTTTTCAATAGGACAGCCTAGACTTAACATCAGCCTGAGGAGTATGAGATATAAAAAGACAGTCACCAGGCCATTGTGTTCTCTCTTGCACAGTGGTCCTCTCTCATCCTGTAGATTGTACTTGTTATAAAGAATCCACTTGTTAAAAAACAGCCTTTTGAAAGGAAAATTTATTCCAGTTAACAGGGACTAGAAATCAGGAGATTGTAGTAGCTAGCTGGGAAAAGCCGAGTTTTTCACATCCCTGTGTGGATGGGCTGACATTGGCACAGAGAGATAGTGGTAGCTAGCTGGGAGAGATTTCATCCATGAGTGGAAGGGCTAACACAAGGAGAGAGAGATATTAGCAACTAACTTGGAAAGGAATTAGGCTTATATAGGTATTGAAGGGGCTAAGAAATCTGGGTTGAAATATTTATGATTTGGATGCCCAAGGACGATCTGCTCAGGTGTGTAGACAATTACTGGACTTCTCAGCACCAGGAGAGTTGTGTACTTTATTTTGAGTACATTTGCCCTATTTACTGAGAAGCTGCTGTTGTTTGCTAAAAGCAGCCTGTTTGCTTTGTCCCATTTGTTTGTGAAGAACCCACTTAAGTCAGACCTGACTTTATTTATTTTTCTACTTTTAGTTGGCCCAAGGACTTAAAATAATGGATCTTTATTAATATTAAGAGAACTAGAAGGAACAGTACCAAAGGTCACCTTTAGGAAGCTTAATCTGGCAGCACAATAAAGGGTAGGGAGGGAGGAAGTAAAAACTGGAGGTGGGGAGAGTCACTATGGAACAGTTAGTAATCTAGCCAAAAAGGGAATCACTGGAAACCAAGGCAGCCCCTGGGGATGAGCAATTTTACTGAAATCCCTCTGTGATTTATTCATTCCTTATAACAAAAGACTGCTAATGAATCAAATCAGATACCAGATGTTTAAAATACTCCAAGATACTTTTCAAAATGTCCTTACAATTACTGTTGGGAATACACTCCCAGACTCAATTTGTCAGTGCAGACAATAAAACACTCAGACACCAAGAAATCTTGACAAGGTAAGTTTTACTTTTGCAAAAGGGCATAAGCATACCATGAGCTAGCAGCAGGCTCCTTTTTTTTTTTTAATTAATTTTATTGATACATTTTAGGTATACAATATAATGACATTCATCATCGGAAATTTGTACCTTTACATAATCTATCTTGGTTCTTAATTTTTTCCCCATTCTCCTGCCCTCCCTTCAACCCCTCTACCCCTCCCTATTTACAAAGACTTTGTTTCCATTTTTCCTTTCCCTTCTTTCCTTTCCCCTGCCCCTCCTACTTCCCCTTCCCCTTTGCCCCTTTTCTTCCTACTTCACATTATCTATTGTACCTTTTAGTCCTTATTTACACTTTCAGTTTCTCATACCAGAGCAAAGATTCGGTATTTACACATGTGTGTCCTATTTATTTCACTTAAGAGTATCTCCTCAATGTGCATCCATTTAGCTATAAATGTCTCTAATTTCTCATTCTTTATGGCTGAGTAGTACTCCATTTTATTAAAAAAAAAAAAACATTTTCTTTATCCAGTCTCCAGTTGATGGGCAACTGGGCTGCTTCCAAGTTTTAGCTATTACAAACTGTGCTGCTATGAACATGAGTGCACATATATCACTGTGATATGATTCTTTTAATTCTTTTGGGAAGATACCCATCAGGGAAATAGCTGGATCAAATGGGACTTTCAATTCTAGTTCTTTGAGGTATCTGCAAACTGATTTCCACAGTGCTTGCACCAGTCCAGGCTCCTTTTATTTCCTAAACTCAAGAAGCAACTGACCTTCTCCCATTGGCTAATTTGATGGTTCACGATATGTCCCAATTGGCTAGTTTAAGTGGCTCAAGGGAAGGGCCTGAAGGATTGCTGGGCAGGGCTGCTAAGGGAGGCTGAGAGTGGTGTATAAGGATTGAAAGCCCTTGACTGCTGATAAGTTGTCTTTGGTGGTCAGCCATGTTCCTGGAATCTAAACTGAGCAAGCATTTTCTGTAACCCTGTGTGAGGGGTGGGAGTGGGAGGGCAGCCTAGGGTGAACTAGAGTTTAAAATAGGGGCACTCCTATTTATATCCTTTGATAGAAAAGACCTTGTTTCTTACATTAGCAAATAAGATGACAGCATATAATGGTGTTTTTATCATTTTTCTACAAATTTAGGATGAACCTGAAAAGCTGACATTCCTTAGATCTTTGTCTTCTCTCAGCGAAACTTTACATTATGATAAAACCACAGAATCATTCATTCATAGCCACATAGCAGATATAGTGCACATCCTAAACGTAAGTATTGTGATCTTGTCACAAATGATTGGGACTCCACAAACTAACTGACTTGCCAACATGTTTTTAGTAGTTTTACCTATGTTATTAATTCCTTTAATCTCTTCTCTTGTCATCTTCTCTGAATGGAAAAGAAATACTCAGGAGTACCCCACAAATATAATCACCCTTAAAAACCAGCTAAAAAAGGAATTAAAAGGAAAAAAATAGCATTAGCATTTAAATTTCTTAGTAAGGTCAGTGTTGCATTTTTAACTTCAGCAATAGTTTTGAGACAGAATCTAATCTAATGCCTGGGTTCAGGTTTAGCTTTACCACTTTACATCTGTGTAACATCAGGAAATTACTTAACTTCCCAATGCTAGGTTTTTCCCATCTATAAAATAAAAATAGCTATTCACTTCATAGAGCAATCATAAGCATTAAATTAAAAATAAATGCAAGCCATGTAACATGGTCCTAACATTTATTATGCATTTGAGAAACATGATTGTATTATTGCCATTGTCGTATTTTGTCCTGTTTATACTTACTCTGGCCATACTCTGCCACCAACTTATCCATTTATTCCCTTATCAAGTACCTGATAGTTCCAGGCGTTGTCGAGAGAACTGAGGCTGCAAAGACAAAAAGACTAATCCCCAACCTTGCAGTCAAGCAGGGTATAATCCAGTGTCACATACACTGTGAAAAAAGTTTAAATTGGTATTTTGGGGGCACAGAGGGATGAATGAGTAGTCAATTCATTGTAAAGGATTCAAAAGGACTTTACAGAGGAGGTAAGGCACTTCGGTATATATTTAACTTGTGTTTTAGTTTTTCTCATCTGTGAATACCCCATTCAGTTTCTCTAAAGTTTTTAAATTTTGCTTCTGACATTTCTTATATGCTCCAGAAATATGAGCAGTTTTTTCTCAAACCAGAGATCTGTAGGGCTGATTTGACTAATAACTAGTTATTAAATTGAAGAAAGAATTTCCTTGGCCCAGTCAGGGCCTGTTTTCCACCTGCATCACTCAGGTCTGGCTGGGATCACATGGGAGTGGCATGGCTGCTGGGCTTCCCTGCCTGTGTGCTGGCACCATTGCAGAGAGAAGAGGTGATTGCTATGATCTGGCCAGTCACTCTAAGAGCTGCTACTGCACTTCACAAGCAAAGAATACCCTGGCACTTGTGACCCTGTGTAGTGGCTAGCCATAACCATGAACAAACAAGCTTTTAATGCCTAACTGATTAAAAAAAGAAGACAAAAGATCATTCTGGCAGAAGTAGGCCAAATAGATTGATGGGGGATTGCAGACTTGGGGTTTCAGCTAAGAGGCAATGCATATGAGGTGTGTGGCTGCAGGAAAGGAAAATCAAAGAACTTCTGATGGAATTGATGGGATGTGAGGAGTGAACACAGGAGAAAAGTCTTAAACCATCTTTTTTATCCAGTCTTGGGAAGGGCACCTTTGACAACTATTAAAGGGTAGAAAGGTGTGTTCTTAGGAGGGGGAGGATAATGCTAGGTTGTGGCTATGAGTAGGCCCTAGGAGAGCAATCAAGGCTGAAGACAGAGCCATGTTTTGTCTCTTCTAGGCTATAAAGCCTTAAAAATAAATGAGCTCCTTGAGGAAATAACAGCAGCAGGCCACCAGCAAAACTTGAGTGGAAAGAGAGAAGAGGAAAACTTAGGAAGGAAACCTGGTACTATTTATTGAGTATTTCCCTAAGTTTCTAGTGAGATCTTTTTTGGGAAGAGAAACCCACTAGAGGCAGCTGAAACACAAAAGAGGAGATTGGTTCTAAGGAATACTCAGTGTTCCCTAGAACCCCATGACAGGAGAAACAGTGCCCCAGGAAGGGAATGAATCCAGACAGTAGGAAGCTTCTGCTCCCACATGCTAGGGAAAACTTTGTTTTTCCAATTGGTGTTCTTAGTCCCAATTCCAGATTCCTGAGGGAGAATCTAATTGGCCTTAGTGTCTACTCCTGGGCAGATGCACTGAGGCCAGTGGAACAGAGTGACAGTAGATACATGGCTGTGAGGTGCTGTATCAACTCCCTAAAAATTCCTTCCTTCTCACTGCAGGTACTGGTGCAAGAGGAGCCTCTGCATTCTCTGCTCAGCCCTGTGCTCCAGGAGGTCTTTGCCACCATCACTGTCCTCAGGTGACCACTACATCCTTACACAAGCATCCTGGCTTCTCATTTAGGTCAATGCCAAAGCTAACTGACATGTTGCATATTTTAACTTTTGAAAACTGTTTAGCTAGGGAAATGGGAAGAAGCCAAATGCTTGTGTTTATGTAAGAACTTTGATTTTATATATGCTACCATCCAGGTCTGAAAGGCCTTGTTGAAACCTCTTTGGAGTTCAGATTTGTCCAAAGTATACCCAGTGGAGAGTGATTCCCACACATGCTTCATGACCATAGAATTCCAAGGTCTAACAAGAAGGATCACTGCTGTCGCCTTACAGCGGGACCCATGGGGCCCACAGCAGGCACAAGACCCCGCCCCAAGGCCTTTTCTCCAGCTCTGCCCCTCTGCCTGCTGGATGGGAAGGGCATCTGTTTTGGTGAAGGGACCCAGGCCCTGGCACTCCATGATGATATGGAGATGGGGCCCAGCCCGGCAGGGTGAGGGGTCACTGTGCCAATCTACCTCACCGGCCTGCACTCTGCCAGGCCTCATGGGGTGGAACACTGCTCCCTAACACGCCCTGAAGGTCCTGGGGGGCTGTGGAAAGAGAAGGGTATGGAGGAAGGACTGGGCCCCTAGGGAGGAGACTGGAGACCACCCCCACTCCTCAGAGCCCTCAGGATGGGCTGGAAGTGTCTGTACCACCACGGGGAGCAGGGCCCGGCCCCTTTCACACCCTCCTTCCCAAGGGACGCCCCCGCTTTGTCACCAGTGGCTCCTGCCTGTCACACCTGCCCCTAGGACGCATGGGGACCCCCATGCCATCGCCAGATGGGCCACGGCCCGCCACTGGCCGTTCCCCCACACCCCCCCCCCATGCGCTTGCTCACGTGTGTGTGTCTGTGTGTGTGTCCATCTGTCTTGCCGTGTCGTGAAACTGTGACTGTCACCCAGTCCAGACAAGTGAATGGCCTTCAAGGCCACAGTTATGCAACTTGCGGTGTGCGTCATGACAGCGTCACACTTTTTAAACTCGATCGATAACTCTTTATTTTAGTATACGCCCCAGGCACCCAGAGCTCCCTCAGGACTCCAAGAGGTTTATTTTTTCGTCCTCGGAACCTGCAGAACGTTGGTGGTGCCTAGCCCGTGCGCAGCCTTCTCCCTGGATTGCGTTTGCCTTAGCAGATATGTTTATACAGATGAACATAAATCTCCTTTTTCTTTTGGCTTTTGGCTTTTTATATTTTTTTTTCATTCCTTCTCACCCTCCCCCCAAAAAAGCTACTTCTTCATTCGGTGGTACGATTATTTTTTTTAACTAAAATAAGATAAAATTCTAAAAAAAAAAAAAAAAAAAAAAAAAAAAGAATTCCAAGGTCTAAGTACTTTGCAAGGACTGCTTGTTCTTTAACTCTCTTGGAGACTTATACCACAGTGATTAAACTGATGAAAGGTACTGAGATGTCTTGTAGTTAAAAAGGTTTTTTGGGGTGGGGAGAGTTTGTTGTTTTGGTTTTGGTTTTTTGAGACAGTCTCACTATGTAGTTTAGGCCAGCCTTGAACTCACTATATAGTCCAAGCTGGCCTCAAACTTGTAAGTGATCCTCCTGTCTCAGCCTCCTGAGTGTTGGGATTATAAGCATGCACCACCCCACTGGTGTTAAAAAGTTTTTAACTTGATTCAACGTACTATTCCCTAAACCAACATTCAGCAGAATACGTCTTGGAAAATTGTGACTAACTATATTAGACTACAACGGGCTTCCCTCTGTGGCTAAACTGGAGGAAACTTCTCTCCCACCCCAGTGACTTCCTGGGAGGAAACTCTTCCACTAACCTTTTGTGAGATTTTTCTGAACAGACTAACAAACCATGCTTTTTATATCTTCCATCAGAGTGATAGAGCAACCAGTATTTCCTCGTCTTGTCAGTTACTTTGGTCCCTACTTATCAATACCAAATAAAACCCTCTTCCCAAACTGTCTTTTCTTAGTTACCAAGATGCCCACTTGCTGTTTGGCTCTGAAGATCAAGCTGACTTGTTCAGTCTCATCACCAGAAGGATAGTCAGTCTGCCCTCTGAAAGGAGTCTTACCCAGCTGGGGGAAACCATGGGAAGCAGGCCCTCCAACCCAGAGGTAACTCACACTTTGCTTCAGTAACTTCCTATCCATAGAGTCAGTGGATCTTAGCCTTTCACGAGTGTTTGATTTTTAAAACTAGCCAAAACCATTTAAATCAGGTCTGGTGAATAAAATAGGTAGTTAAATTAGATACCAGCCCAAATTTTGTGTTCTTTCATTTTCCCTTTACTCCTTTTTTTTTTTTTTAACTTTGGCTTTATAATAAGATGGGAGTATCCATTTATAGATTTTACAGACATTTAAGGGCCACCATGTGCTAAGCATTGTGATGGGCAGTAGGAATGTGGAAGTACATGCATACTCTCATTGTGGCGCTTACATTCATATGCAGAGACAAACCACTGATAAATTAACACCTCTGCTGGTAATTAATGTTAAGTGTTATGAAGAAAGTAAAATAGGGAGTTCCATCCCCTCACTGAAAAAAAAAGAAGAAAAAGAAAAGTAAAGCAAGGACAGAGAAAAGAGTGTACTGTGGATGGGAGGCATCAGGCCTTTTCCATAGGGCGGTCTGGGAAAGCCTTCCTAATGGAGTGAGAGTTTAAGGAAGAGAAGGAAACTTCCAGGCAGACCAAGAGTAAGTGCAGAGGCCCTGATTTTATTCTGTGGCTGCTGAAGCAATTACTAAAGAAGACTTATTCTCCTCTGCTTTGTGATGTCAGAAAGAGCCACAAATCAACTTTTTAAAAATACTGTTTCTTGATAACCCTTAAATAGTTCCCCAGCAATAGTTAGAGTCAGTTAACTATCATCCCAGTCATACTTAGGTGTCCATTTGAAATGAAGATGCCCTGGTTCATCCCATGCCATACACTGTCAATGGGTACTTTAGTGCTGGGTCTGCAGCTTTGAGTAAAGTCTTTTTTTTTTGGTACCGGGGATCCAACTCGGGACCTTGCACCTGCGAGGTAGGCAGCAGAACCACTGAGCTAAATCCCTGGCCCTTGAGTAAAGTCTTAAAGAGAAGAGCCTTAAAAGTGCAATGTCTTGGGCTGGTTATTTAGTTCAGTGGTTCCACCGCCTACCTCTCAGGCACAAGGTCCCGAGTTGGATCCCCGATACATGGGCTGAGGGCATTGTTGATCTGTGCCTTTTCAGTGTCTCTACAGGCAGACATTCCAGGCATTCTGTGAGATGCTCCAGAGTTTGGTTGTAAAAGACCCTCATTTGGAAAAATTTGATGCCATTTTTAAGGTAAACAAAATATGGAGGAAGAAGGGGAAACTATTCCTATTCATTGGTGAGAGTGGAAGAAGAAAATCTGCTGGGGATTTAGCTCAGTGGCTCCGCCTCCTGCCTCACAAGCACAAGGTCCCCAGTTCGATCTCCAGTACCAAAAAAAAAAAAAAAAGGATTAAATTGCAGGAGACAATAAATACAGCTGAGAATATCAGCTATGATCTTTGAGTCAGAGGCTTTAGGCTCAAATCCTAACTGCTACTCATTGGTTATAAGTCCTGCTATAAAATTTGCATGGACCCAGGCATGGTGGCACCCGCCTATAATCCTATCTCTCAGGAGGCTGAGGCAGGAGGATAGCCATGAGTTTGAGGCCAGCCTGGGCTACATAGTGAGACCTTATCTCAAAAAATAAAATAAAAGAAAATCTTCATGGGATTTGCTTTCTCAGAGTCTCATGTTTTCACCTTTATATGGAGATACTAATTACTCTGAATATTGAATAAGTGGCCTCCAATAAATGGGTCAAATGGTTGTATAATTATTCTTTACATTATTATTCCCTTCTATATATCAATTTGGTTTCAGTCAGCCTGGCCTGGTGGTGCACACCCGTAATGTCAGCCAGCACTCTGAAGGTAAGAGGGCTGCAAGTTTTAAGTCCAGCCTGGGCAATTTAAGTGAAAACCTGTCTGACAATAAAAAAAAAAAGGGAGTTGGAGCTGTAGCTCAGTGGGAAAGCCCTGGGTTCAATCCCCAGTACCACAAAAAGAAGAAGGAGGAGGGTGAGGGAAGAGGGAAGGAGAGGAAGAGAAGGAGGCAGGTGAAGGAAGAGAGAAGAACAGGAGAAGGAAGAGGAGGAAGAAGAGGAAGAAAGGTTTTAGTCAGTGACCAAGGGAATAGTCAGCCTCATGAGTTGGTAATAGGCATCTTACCAGGTGGGACTCAGAAGTCACAAGTGACCTGCCCCCAACCATAGCTATTACAGTTTATGCCATTCCATCAACAGGGATTTGCTTATTGGTGTGCATTCTCTATAGCTCAAGCACACTGCTCTCTTGCCTCCCCTACCCCATCCCACCCAATGACTGGGGATTGAACCCCTGGCCTTCATGCTGACTGACTTGCATTGCTAGCTTTTCTTTCTTTCTTTTTCTTTTTGGTACCGGGGATAGAACTCGGGTCCTTGTGCTTGCGCAGCAGGCTGTGAAACCACTGAGCTAAATCCCCGGCCTAGCTTTTCTTTTAAAACAGGATCTTGCTTAATCACCAGGTTGCCCAGGCTGGACTTGAACTTTTAATCTTCCTCCTCTCCCTCCCAGAAAGCATGTAACACTGTGTCTGGCTTCTTGCACTTTTTAAAGATGAAGATTTACCAGAAAGGGATAACCCTTTGAGCTATTATTATGTGCTGCAAGGTACAGGTGGGGTATCCTGGCCATAACTGATCTTGACATTATTTCTCATTCCTCTTCTATTTGTACATTAACACACCAGCCAGATTGGGTGTCTCTTCTTTGTCCAGTTGTGCTTTGTACTTGCCTGGGTTTCCAGCTTACTTCCAGCCATTTCTGCTACCTGAGAAGCTACTGTGTTTATGAGCTTCTACTCATAGATGTCATGTTCTCTCTGAGTCTTGCTCTGATTTTGTTTCTCCATCCACAAGTTCTTTAATAGCACATTATTTTCTTTTTTCCAAAGCAGATTTGAAAGGGATAAAAATAGAAGAATATAATAATTAATTAAAGAATTGGGATGAAGGGAAATAAATGTAGAAAATCAACTTCAGTAGTATCCAGACCTCCTGACCACCTAGGTCAGTGGCACCAAACCTATGGTACACATGCTGCAGCTGGCTGTTTGTTATCATTGAAATATCTAAAAGGTTCTCCGTCGCCTGTTTAGGTCCTTGGGTATTGCTTGTCCTCCCACCAATTTTATCTCCAACCCAGCTGGCTTATTTAAGGAGATTATTTTCAGACATGGAAGTAATCTGGATCTTCTCTCTCTAGATTTTCTTCCAAATAGAATACATAAAGATGTTATCCTAAATCTTCCCAGTAAATCATGTAGCCTCCCTTGATATTTTGCAGCACATAGGTCCCTGGTTACAGTCAGTCAAAGACCATGAGCGGAAATGGGCCACAGCCAGCATGGCTCAAGTTCTGAAGTGCTTATCCAGACATCTCTGCCTTCAGGTGAGCAGCCCTTTGGTTTCCAAGGAGGAAGGATCCAAAGCCATCCTTCTATTTCCCACTTCCCTTCCTGTTTATGACTCCCCACTTGGGCTCTGTGTCCCCTCCATGCTCTTGTAGTATCACAACACTGCATTATTTACGTATCTGCCTCCTAAAATGTGAGCATCTTGAGGACAGCTATGATATTTATTAATCTTTATATCCCCATTGCTTAGCATACAGCTGGAACATAATAATGTGGTAAATGGTTTTTTGTGGGTTTTTTTGGTACTGGGGATCAAACTTGGGACCTTGTGCTTTTGAGGCAGGCAGCAGAACCACTGAGCTAAATCCCCAGCCTGTGGTAAATGTTTTTGAATGGATGAATAAGTAAGTGTAATCTAAACTGTCTGAAGGCCTACAGTGGTCTAGTCTCCGTTCAGGTTGTGTTTAATGAAATCCAGATCAAATAAATTCAAGTAAATCAATTTAAGTATTTCCCACCATCTCAAAGAGAATAGTACTGTGGTACTTCTTTTTAAATCCTCACATTTCTCTCAGTCTCTCACTTCTTAGTTGTTCCCAATCCTCTCCCATAGCTTCTAAAAAGAATTCCTCAAAACTAAGATCTTTCTTGCTGGATTCATTCCTTTCTTTTTTTTCTTTCTTTCTCCTTCTCTGAGCAGATTTCCTAGCCACTGGTACTTTTGTTCTTCACCCATAATTTCTCTTAGCTAAGTAATAAGGCTGAAATTGAACAAGAAGTTGGTGAAATAGGGATGCTGGATTTTTTTTTTTTTTTTTTTTTGGTACTGGGGATCGAACTCAGGACCTTGTGCTTTTGAGGCGGGCAGCAGCACCACTGAGCTAAATCCCCGCCCTAGGGATCCTGGATCTTGATGCCAGAATTTTCCTCAATTTGTTCTTGATACAGATGTTCTAACAGTCACGTTTAAAAGCCTTCTACCTTTCTTATTTCTTACATTGAAAATATATCCAAACTTGCCACCTCCTTTATTGAAGTAAATTCAGCCCCTTAGACTATGGTGTTTTTCTTTCTCTTTTTTTGAGACATGGTCTCACTATATAGTTCAGGCTGGCTTTGAGCTCACTATGTAGCCTAGTCTGGCTTCGAACTCACAGCAATCCTCCTGCTTCAGCCTCCCAAGTCCTGAGATTACAGGCACATGCCACCATTCCCAGCTCATTTCTCATTTCTCTTATTAGTGAAGGAAACCAAGTAACTTCCAGCCATCACTGACTACCCCTACTGTTCTGATAACAGCAATGCATTGTCTTCCTAAACCTCTGTTTAGCAACAGTTAAAGAAGAGTTTCAAAAGACTCCCTCCTGTGTTTTTAGTATCTCTCTTGTCCCTGGAGCTCTTCCTTAGTATTTTCTTTGCTAGAGAAAGTTGCTAATGTAGGGGTTCTTAACCTGGGTACCACTGGGGTCTATGAATATCCAGATGTTATGTGCAGAATTTTGTGTGGTGCAGTCTTCTGGATTTTTCTGAGGAATGTCCAGAGCTTTTCTTACATTGAGTTATAATTTATATACAGTGAAATCCGCTCTGTTTAAGTATACAGTTCAATGAGTTTTGGCACATTTCTCTAGATCCCTGTTTTCATATTCTCAAAAGAACCCAAAGAATAACAGTAAAAGGCCAAACATAGTGGTACATACCTGTACTCCCAGCTACTCGGGAGGCTGAAGCAGGAGGATCACAAATTTGAGGCCAGCCTGGACAATATAAGCAACATAGTGAGAACCTTTCTCAAAAAAAAGAAAAAATATATGTATATGAGAGCATTTAAAGAAGTATTTAAGGGCCAGGGATTTAGCTCAGTAGCACCATGTCTGCCTCATAAGCGCAGGGTCCTGAGTTTGATCCCTGGTATCAAAAAAAGAGAAGTATTTAGTGATCAGACTAGGAACATAATTCTCAAGTATCCTTTTTTGTATGAAAGTTAGTTTAGGGGCCAGGGATTTAGCTCAGTGGTTCCACTGCCTGCTTTACAAGCGCAAGGTCCCCGGTACAAAAAAAAAAAAGAAAAGAAAGTTTATACCCAGCCAGCCATGGTGGCTCACACATGTAATCCCAGCACTCAGGAGGCTAAGGCAGGAGGATCAGCATGAATTCAAGGCCAGCCTCAATTACATAGTGAATTTTGGACCAGCCTGAACTATATAGTGAGACCCTATCTCAAAGAAAGAGAGAAGGAGGGAGGGAGGGAGGGAAGGAGGTAGGAAGGAAGGAAGGAAGAGAAGGAAGGAAAAAAAAAATGTATACCTGATGTGGTGGTGTGTCCCTATAACCCAGCATTTGGGAAGCTGAGAAAGGATAATCTCTGTGAGTTGGAGGCCAACCTGAGATACAAAGTAAGTTCAAGACCAACCTGAACTACATAGTGAGACCTTGTCTCCAAAAAATATATATAAATATGCTCGTTATACAAAATGTTAACTTTCTTTTTTTTGAGTCAACATTTTTATTTGAAAAACAATTTAGTCTGCTTAGTTGTGTTATAATTTACATATACCAAAACTCAAAATTAGTTTTAAGTGTACAAATCTATGAATATTGAGAAATGTATTAACCACCACCATAATTATAACATAAAACATTTACATCAACCCAAAAAGTTTCCTCTGCCCTTTACAATCAATTATCTTCTGATTTCCTCCTTTTTTTTTTTTTTTTTTT